TATCCCGCGGGTTGGGACACTTCAGGATCTTGATTCCCACTTGTGTTAAAACTTCCACTGAAAACTCCGCTCTTGTCTGCAACTGATCTGAGCATGACAGTTTCAGCACCCGTCAAGCAGAAAGTTCTTTAAATTGTAATTTTTCAGTCATAATTGTGTAAGCTGAACCAGTTGAGATGTCTATGGTGTTCGCTATGGTTCTTGCTATTAATCATCAGTCATCTTCTATTAGGGCATGAACAAGATTAATTTTTTCCTCACAAACTGATGTGGAAGGTCTGTTGCCAAGGGCTTCATCTTCTTGACTCTTCTTGACTCTTCATCTGTCTTGACTCTTCTTATAATGAGTTATCTGTTTGTAAACTGATTTCTTTGGGCATTGTCCTCATGAACTTTTTGTAAAGCATCAATAATTTCACCATTCCACGCAAGCTTCACCATATATTTAATATTTGTTCTTGCTTCAATCTGAGCAGAATTCATATTGTGCTGATAGGGGCTCTTTTCAAACTGATGTCTTTTCCTTCTTAGTGCCTCAAACTAGATCCTGTTCAGACATGTTATAATAAGTTAGTACTAGTTTATTTTAGTGGAAAATAATTTTGCAATCCATGCATAGTTTTGTCATAACATGCATTTTCCACAAACCTTTTGAAGACCCCTTATATATGCATATAAAACATATATGTAACAAAAAGTATATATGTAAAAAAGAAAAATAAAACATGTATTACATAACATGACATTTAGGTACCTCCAAAATCCTCTTAAGTGCATCCACGTAGTTCTTTTCACTGTCAACAACTGAACCCAGAATATATCTTCTTACAACCTATTGGAAATTTGGAAATATAATGGTAGAAAATTGCTTTAGAATACATACAGATAAATTTTACTTCATGTTGAGACTGTTGATAAAGAAGTTTTTGCTTTGGGGCTGGCCCGGTGGCGCACTGCTACAGTGCGCTGCTTGGGAAGTGCGGCGGCACTCCCGCCGAGGGTTCGGATCCCACATACAGACCGGCCACTCACTGGCTGAGCGAGGAGTGGGGGCAGCACCGAGGGTTGC